CAGGTTTAAAAGATGTTAAAAACAAGTTTCAAATTCCTTATTGTAAAAAAATACTTCTGTATTTTATATGTTCATTACAACGCACCTATATCCTCCTATTAAGAAGAAACAAACTTTTATGACTTTGATAAGTAAATAGATAAGCACATGAACAGAGCTAGATTAATTTGTTATGCTGCACTCCAAACTTTATTATCCAAACTCTATTAACTTGGTTGGCTGTTGTTTCTATTGAGATTTATTATTAAAGTAGCACAAGACTGGCTGTCTGCTTGACTTGCTTTAGTAAGCACTTCAAAACTCATCAGCCCTTCTCCAGACATGGCTACCTTCAAACAGTCTGGGATTACCACATGTAGAGAATTAGGACATTTAAAACTACAGTAATTGTGCAAACATCACATTACATACTCCTCATTACCGAAGCAAAAAATCATATGTAGAGTGTTTATCAAGTTTATAAAATTAATAAAGATAACTGACATAATAGTTTCAAGTTGAGGATTTTTAGTTCATTTCCATATTATACTTTTATTCTAAAAACTGCAATGCTGAGAATAAGCCCCATGTGGTTGGTGCACACGGAAATGCGCTACCTGCATAACTAGAAGAGTTGACCGGGGATGCCCCCACACCACGATGTCATATTTTTGATTTATAGAAAGCACAATCATAGAATGGAATTTCAAATTCATAGGAGACTCTTTTACTATACTTGATCTTAGCCAAAAGGCCAAGAAGTGATAGAAGAGCCTCTCTTAAACTCCTCAAGACCAAGAACCATATCTGATTATCACTATTTTATGCCTGAAATACAATAGGCACTCTGCAAATATGCGCTGGATGGATACATGAATGAGAACATTAACACTAAATTTAATGGGCTCAGATTATTACATGACTACACAGGTTATGATTACTATGTCCTTGCTTTTATGAAGTAAAGCAGGAGCTGGCAAACTTTTTTATAAAGGGCTAGACGGTAAATATTTTAGGCTTTGTAAGCCATATGGTCACTGTTGCAACTAATCAAACCTGGTCTCTTTTGCAACTATTCAACTCTGTAGTTTTAGCAAAATATGTAAACAAATGAGCATGATTTTTTGAATAAAACTTTATTTATAAAAACAGAATTTGCCCATAAAAAACACCCAAATCCTCTGAGGAGCACTTTCTTATTATATAATGAAGACTCTACTCTCTAAAGGTTGGAAAGTGGTGGACTTGCTAAATCAAGCTGGACAGAGTTTGTTGGGTTGATATTTGGGCAGAGGATATATATTTGCTCTCCACCATGCCCATCACTCCTTATAAGCAACCCCATTCATTTCAGTCACATTACCAGCCTGGTCCATGTAAGCCTCTGAATTTACATCCCTGAACTCTACAGTACAACTGGCTTCCAGGGATATGGCCCACAGCCATACCTGTGAATTGATAACTATCCTACAGGCTCCTCAAGGGCAAGCCCAAAACATTCAACTCTTTGTCCCTCACCTAACACTTAATATCAACACCTAATGAACTTCAAATATTCATCAATTGCCTGTTGTTTGATATGTTCTGCACAGTCTCCTTGGAGGGGCTGTAAGGAGAGTAATAATAGCAGAGAAGAGGACGTAGAAAACATGTGCCGGTAGGGAACGATGTGAGAAGGGACATGGTGAGTCACAGGAAGAGCAGCAGGAATCAGCACAGGACTGATGAAACCACACCCAATTCTCCCAAGTGTGTCTCAATCTTCTCGCTGCTGTCTGGATTCCTCCCTCATATCACAGCAGAAGCTGGGCACAAGCTGGTACTACCTCCACTATAACCATGACGAGGAGAAAACCTTGTTTAATTCCCATTTCCTCTGGAGGGTGCCCTGGATGGGTAAACCCAAACAATTACCCACATCTAGTAAAATAAATAAATAGTTATGTTCTCCCACAATGGAATGCTCTATAGCAATGAAAATGAGTAATATAACTAAACTATATGCAATAATATGCAGGAATCTAATATGCTGTTGAATGAGAGAAGCCAGACACAAAAGAGTACAATCTGCGTTATATATTACACATACACACACACAAAGAAAAGACATATGCAAAACTAATTTATGCTCCTAGAAGTCAAGAGAGTAGTCATCCATGGAGCAAGGGTACAGTTGACTCTTGAACAACACTGGTTTGAACTGTAAGGGGCCACTTAAAGGCAGATTTTTTTCAATAAACACATTGGAAAATTTTTTGGAGATTTGCAACAATTTGAAAAAACTCACAGATAAACCACATAGCCTAGAAATAGAAAAAAAAAAAAAAAAGAAAATGTGAGGTATGCTGTGAATGCATAAAATATATGTCATTGGTCGGGCATGGTCGCTCAAACCTGTAATTCCAGCACTTTGGGAGGCCAAGGTGGGTGGATCACCAGGTCAGGGGTTCGAGACCAGCCTGGCCAATATGGTGAAACCCCATCTCTACTAAAAATACAAAAATTAGCCCAGCGTAGTGGCACGCGCCTATAATCCCAGCTACTCGGGAGGAAGAATCGCTTGAACCCGGGAGGTAGAGGTTGCAGTGAGCCGAGATCATGCCACTGCACTCCAGCCTGGGCAACAGAGCAAGACTCTGTCTCAAAAAATGTGTGTGTGTGTGTGTATGTGTGTTGTTATGTAGTAAGTCAGTAAGGCTTCCAGTCAACAGTAAGTTATTAGTAGTTACATTTTCAGGAAGACAAAATTGTACTTGGATTTTCAACTGCACCCCTCATCCCCAAACTATTTAAGAGTCAACTGAAGTGTCTAAAAGGAAGCATGAGATTGTGTTAGTCATGCTCTATTTCTTAATCTGGGTGCTGGTTACATGGATGTGTTCAATCTGTGGAGTTATATTGAGCTATACACTTATAATATATCTATTTTCTGTATGTATCTTCTACTTCAGTAGAAAGTTTTTTTAAATCACCATATCTCAGTGGTCTAGGACTAGACAGGGCCCCATATGTCTTCCCTTCATTCATCCTTCAAAGTCCCCTTTGCCTCACGTGGAGTCCCACTCACTCCTCCTTGTCTTTTCAAAGCATAACCATACAGAGGCCAAAGAATAAAAAAGCAAACTCAATCATTCTAAGCTACCCATGATTCCAGACACAACTCCTTCTGAATCCCAGTATCTTTTGAAGAACCTTTACTGCTATCACTGACCTTTTGTTCTAAATCAGAAATGAGAGTATAAGAAGCCACTGCTGCCCTCAATGGCTCACTTAAATAGACTTCCTTTAAAATATGCTCTAAATAGGCAACCTTATATACACAAATGTCTGTAAAGCAATGCTTAGATACACAGGGACCACCTGAGGAAGATACTATAAATAAATAGTAACTGAGATTGGAAAGGAGAACAGTCGACAGCCATCTTGCAAAAACCACAGATAACTGATGGTGTAATTGGCTATAATGCATAACGATCTATAACTGTAATCATAGCTGAACATATCTTTGAGATTTTAAGTAAAGTTTCAATGTAGGTAGTCAAATTATGAAGCTGGGAATCATTTTTAATCTCTGTAATGCTGATTTTAATATATTAACTTATATAACCTCAACTTCACAGTACCACTCATATTCTTTCCACATTCTCCTACAAGTTTAAGTTTAAAACATCAACTAAGACCTTTGATCACATTAGAGCACAGAGACTGGTCTACTATTTTTTTTTTTTTTTTTTTTTTGAGACAGGGTCCCACTCTGTCACCCAGACTGGACTGCAGAGGCACAATCTCGGCTCACCATAACCTCCACCTCCCAGGCTCAAGTGATTCTCCTGCCTCAGCCTCCCAAGTAGCTGGGATTACTGGCACACGCCACTACCACTCAGCTAATTTTTGTATTTTTAGTAGAGACAGGGTTTCACTATGTTGGCCAGGCTGGTCTTGAACTCCTGACTTCAAATGATACACCCACCTAGGCCTCCCAAAGTGCTGGGATTACAGGCATGAGCCACCAGACCCAGCCCTGGTCTACTTGTGAATCCTGATCAGGGAGAAGGTGAGGCTGGTGATCAGAGCCACTGACCTAAACTTGAAACATCAGCCATCGCAGGGACGGGTAGATTACATAATCACACACAGAGGGAGAGAGAGAGAGAGAGGGACTCACTGTCACCCAGCCTGGAGTACAGTGGCATAATCATAGCTAACTACACCCTCCAACTCCTGGGCTCAAGTGATCCTCCCACCTCAACCTCCCAAGTAGCTAGGACTATAGGTATATGCCACCATGACTGGCTAAATTTTTAATTTTTTGTAGACAGGTTCTTGCTATTAAAAATGGTTTTGGACTTTGTTTTTTGAGACAGGGTCTTGTCTGTCACCCAGGCTGGAGTGCGGTGGCTCCATCACAGCTCACTGCAGCCTCGACTTTGTGGGCTCAAGTGATCCTCCCACCTCAGCCTGCTGAATAGCTAGGACCACAGGTGTGCCCCACCACGCCCAGCTAATTTTTTTTGTATTTTTCCTAGAGACGGGTCTCACCTTGTTGCCTAGGCTGATTTTGAACTCCTGGACTCAAGCCATCCATTCCCTTCAACCTCCCAAAGTGCCCGGATTACAGGCGTGAGCCACCACACCTGTCCTAAAAATGTTTTTAATCTGACTTTATTTGTATCAACAATGAAGGGAGCATAACCCAGTTACACACTTCAGTACAAAACTATAAATTTAATTAAATAGTTCTGTGTCACATAGTTCTAAGATGTCTTTCAGGGGAGAATATCCTTATTTGTAAGAGCTGCATCCCAAGAATTTAGCAAAAAATGTCATGATGTCTGCAACTTCCACGTGTTTCAGCTAAAAAATGTACAAACCTATACACACACCAAAAAATGTGACAAAATGCTAATAACTGTTAAAGCTAAGGTGTAGACACGCAGGAACTCATTGTACGTTCTCTTAACTCTCTTCAGTATGGTTGAAAATGTTTTATGATAAAAAGCTGCATAGAAATATTTACTTACCTTTCAAGTGATGGCTGTCTTCTTTCTCCTGATCAAAAATGAATGACTAAATATACCCACAAGCCCATTCAGGGATCGTACACGCTGTCTTCATGCTGCAAGAATAAGCAAAGCAACAGACGTGTTATCACCAAGAACTTTTACTGTTAATACTATTTCGGTTGAGAACATGTTCTTAATATATGATAAGCCTCTAAATTAAAATACTGCCACAATTTTTTTTTTTTTTTTTTTTTTTTTTTTTTTTTTTTTTTTTTTTTTTTGAGATGGAGTCTCGCTCTGTCACCCAGGCTGGAGTGCCGTGGCGCAATCTCGGCTCACTGCAAGCTCCGCCTCCCGGGATCACGCCATTCTCCTGCCTCAGCCTCCCGAGTAGCTGGGACTACAGGCGCCCGCCACTGCGCCCGGCTAATTTTTTCTGTTTTTAGTAGAGACGGGGTTTCACCATGTTAGCCAGGATGGTCTCGATCTCCTGACCTCGTGATCCGCCCGTCTCGGCCTCCCAAAGTGCTGGGATTACAGGCTTGAGCCACCGCGCCCGGCCTCCACAATTTTTTAATAGGGGAAAAAGGAAAAAAAGAAAAAATAATCCCATCACATACTGAATGTGGGGAACAACTATCAGCCCCACCCACTCTAGGAAATTTTGGAATAAAGGAATTCCTCTGTAAGTTTCTTTTTTTTTCCCTCCAACTTTATCAAAGTATGATTGACAAAAATTACATATATTTAAGTGTACAAGGTGATGGTTTTATATATACATACATTGTGAAATGATTGCCACAAACTACTTAACGTATCTATCACCTCATACAATTCCCTTTTCTTTGAGAAGGTTTCTGGTAAAAACCAGAAAACTTGCTAGATAAATTCTAAAAGAGCCGTACAGTGTAGTTACGATTTGTGTGTGTGTGTGTGGTGAGAACACATAAGGTCTACTGTCATAGCAAATTCAAATATACATTATTATTCCCGATAGTCACCATGCATGAGGTCTTCATCTTATAGCTGAAGGTTTGCCTCAATTCCTGTCGAATCACAACAATTTCAGGGCAGTGATGTAGCCCAAACATCCACTCTAACAAAAACTGGAGCGTCAATGACTTGAGCTTTACTTTGACCTTGGATTTCTGAGACCACACTTAGAAGGCATCCATGTACTCGCCTAGAACCACACAGGAATTGCTGAACCTCTTCAAATCCTTTCCAGCAAAGATATTCAGATCCAATCTACAGTACACTCAACTACAATACACACAAGTTTGTGGCAAAGTGGTATCGTGGCCTGAAAGTCATACTCCTATTGCCACCACAATACCTTCTGTTTTGGCATTACCCATCACATTTGATCCTCCCCACAGCCCTGTGAGGTAAGCAGGGTTTATGGATCCCATTTTCCAGAGAAGGCAGCTAAGTGTCAGAGATGATATCTGACAAAAGATATCCAACTAGAAAGCACCAGAGATGAAACTACTATTTGTCTTCTGACCCCAAGCCCCGGGCTTGTCTCACGGTACAGGTCACCTCCACCCTGCTGCCCCTGAACATGATGCTTCCTTAAAACCAACCCCACAGCCAAATGGCCAAACAACACATCACGCCAGGGAGGCAGCCGGGCGCTGCAGTGTGCTCCCTGAAAGCATATATTCATAATCTTTCTTAATAGTACCATTAATACTATAATCATTATTACCAATTACTATAAATACTATTAGTAATTATACTTCTCTTGTAGACACAATAACCCTTAATGTATTTTTGCATTTATATATATATTTTATATACATATATATATATATATGCACTTTATTTTTTTTCCTTCTTCCTCAAAAGAGCACACTGTTCACAAACGGAGGGAAAACAAGCATCGCACTGCATCCCTGGCAATTTGTATACTCATCATAATGAAAGGCTATCATTTGCTGTTGAGGATTTTCCTTTCATTTTTATAAAATGCAAAATACACTAGAATATAATGCCACCGACACAGCTCCGCAAATAAAGATGGAAGCAGCATCAAAATTACAGTTGGGGAGAATGTGACATCTCTGCATGATGGCCTTTCTTGGCGCTTCATCTGCTAATCACCAGAATTCTGTACACACAGAGGGTTAGCAGTATCAATGACTAACACGCAAAGTACTGGTGTACAAAAGCGTAAAGAAAGCCAGTCTGGAACCCCGTGCACCTGGCTCTCAGGCCTATCTTTTCCACCGTTTAGCTTCATTAAAAATGGAGAGAACCTCCTCCAGCTGCTTCCTCACCTGAGGGCTTCTCCACTTTTTAGCTTCATTAAAAATGGAAAGAACCTCTTCCGGCTGCAACACCTGTTCACGAGGATGTTAGGATCCACAAAGGGGAGATGGTGCGACTCACTGCCTCACAACCCAGAGCCCTTGGACCCCCAGGAATACTACGAAGTTATGCCAAGAGCTAAACAAAGCTAAAGAAAAATAAACATGACATGGTTTCCAGAAACATCAGTGTTACTCAAAGATTTTGGTGAGGGAAGGTTAAGCAAATGAATCAATAATTTAAAAGTTGTTAATATTAAAACAAGTATAAATTATGGATTAGAATGTAATCGTTGTGTGGATTTTTAAACTAAGGCCCCTGTCCTTGCTTGCCCAGGTCATTTCTGGCAATGCTCTTAGACGTGGGGGTGAGTAGCAAGGGGTGGACCCTCTCTCCTTTTTCATTAAAGATGGTCTTGGGAAAAAGAGTGGGGCAGGAACAGACTTTAATATCACAATGGCCCTTCACCTGGAGAATTATCTTCAAAATCAAGAGTCTCAGATTGTTGCCAGATCTAGGTACAGGCAGAATGAAGTCCAGGCACATATAATCCCATCTCCCACCATAGATCTCAGGACAAGCATTACTGAAGTTCCTTTCCTCATGGCCCTTCCCTTCCACTCCACTGCCTCAGGCACATTCCTGTCAGGCAAGCTTAGGCCACTGAAATGCTCAGCTACATCACTGACATTTCTTTAAACCCATACTAATTGGTAATACGTTCAGTATCTGTAAAACTTTTCATTTAAATGGATGTGTGCACTATTACTAAAGAAAAATGAGCTCACCAATTTAGTTTGCTTCTAAAAAAATGTTTACTGTGAAATATACTATACTTAAAAGTGCGTTAACTGTGGTAGCCAGGCTCCAAGATGGCCGTAGTGATACCCTTCTCCCGGTATTCATGCGCTTGTATAGTCCCGCCCCTCACGGAACAGGGCTGGCATGTGGGAACCACTACAATATTGCTGAAATGCCGGCGTGAGGCTGCAAAAGTCCAAAGACTCCACCTTCCATCTCTGTTTTGGGAGGGAAGCTGGCTGTTCTGATATGAGGACACGCTCAAGAAGCTCTGCGGAAGTACACGTGGGAAAGAACTGAGGCCTCCTGCCAACAACCAGCAAGGAACTGAGGCCTCCTGGCAACAGCCATGTTAGTGAGCCATCTTGGAAGATCCTTCAGCCTCAGTCAAGCCTTCAGATAGATGGCAGCAGCTTCAGTTGACATCTTGACTGCAACCTCATGAGAGACTGCGAGTCAGAACCACCCAGCTGAGCTGTTCCCAAATTCCTGGCCTACTCATGGGAACTATGTGGGATGACAAATATGTATTATTGTTTTAAGGTGCTAAGTCTTGAGGTTTGTTATGCAGTGATAACTAACCTAACAACATATATAGGTATAAAGAATAATAAAATAAATCGCACGTACCTAATACCAGTCGGTGTTTAGATTTTTTTTTTCTTTTTTTGGAAGCCGTGTGTGTGTGTGTCTTTCCTGATTACATGTCTCCCAATCATCCTTCACCACCACTTCCACCACCAAGATTTACCACTGGCCTGAATTTTAAGTCAATCATTTCTTGGCTCATCTTTATGGTTTTGCCACATATGTGCTATCAATATGTTGTGATTTGCTGATTCTAAGCCTAATATGAGTGAAGCGATACTGTATGTGCTCTTCTAGACTTGCCTCTTCTCTTAAGATTTTGAGATTCATCCCTGTGAATCATGTGGCTTTAGTTCATTCATTTTGTTACCACGATACAGTTCTCATTGTGTGAACATACCCACAATTTACTGCTCTGTCCTACTGTTGGGGACCCCTCTGGGAATTTTTCAATTTTCTGCTACTTTGAATAATGCTGCCATTTACATTCTACTGCTTGTCCTCTGATACACACAGACAAGAATTTCTCCAGGGTTATATACCTAGGCGAGGAGAGCTGGGCTACGGATTGCACGTGTTCAACTCCTCTAATGCCAAATTGTTTTCCAAAGTGGTTGTGTACAATTGACTCTTTAGCCTCCTTTCCAGTTTCTCTCCAAATAAGAGGCATGCTTGTTTTGCTAATTACCAGGAAAGCTTTCAACCAACAAAAGGGAAAGCTTTTCCTATTTGCAGCATCACTACTGCAAATAAATAGTACTCCAAAGCAGTGACCTAGACAGCTGGAACATATTAGTCACAGGACATCAGTACAGACTTCAGAATAATGATGCGAACCCAGCCAACACCCTATACTGCCTGCGGGTGTAAGTCAAATTTGATTTCTAGACATACAGTAAATTCAGAGACTGTTTTCTTCCTGGTAGATTCACATACTATGGGCCCACCTGACTGGTATCATCTTGAAGGAGAAAAAGAGTAATTCACACGCAACCCAGCCAAATTCAAGATCAAAACAGGAGAATCAAATAATTTCTGTGAAATAATGGAATATGTATGTGTGTTTTTTTAAACAGGCAGCTGGTTAGGGTTTTAAATATTTTTACCTATAAAATTGTTATTTACTACACCTGATTTTATTTATTGTGATTCTACAAAAAATTCTCAATTATTTTCTCTATGAGAAAACTGTGCTTTATAGGTTTAGTTAATCCAATTTCTTAGATGAAAATAGTAATTTTTGCAATTTAATCTGCATTTCTAGGAAAAATGTGACAGCAAATGTTTTTATCAGCATCAAATACAAATAATGAGAAATTCAATTTGAGTAGGAAAGAAAGAAGAAGTGTTATAAATTTAAAAGAGATTCATATGTCATGGGAAGAAACAATGTCAGTAGATGATCAAAATA